GACTGACCCTCCCTAACATGATCAAATCAAGTGTCTCCATTATATTCAATAATTTATGTGTATTTGTTGTCCCCTGCAGGGCTTTCACCGTTACTGCAGTGGCTCAGCTCTGTGTGCTCGGCACCATGTGGATCTTTGGCTGTTTCCAGTTTGAGAAGGGCACAATAGTCATGTCTTATCTGTTCTCCATTTATGGGAGCCTGTATGGTGTCATGTTCTTTGTCATCCACTGTCTTTTTTCAAAGCAGGTCAGCCATAAACTTTTTTTTTTTTTTTTTTTTAGAAATTAACAAACATACTGCTTTTGTATTTCCACACCTTCAATTAAAAGAACTCAATGTGTTTTCTGATTTTAGGTGAGGGAGGAGTATAAAAACATTATTTCTCGTTTATGCACACCTCAGAAGAGAGCAAACTCCGAGTTCAACTTGTCACATTCCAGTAAAGCTAATGTAAGCATACATTTCACATTTAATTAAATAGTTGGTTGCATAACAAAAAAATAAAAATAAAAACACTCACACCAATGCACCAAACATGTAAATATTATAGTTGGAACCAGATATTTACATATTTAAAATATAACAGTTATTTCTCTTTTTCCTTGGCTGGTATTAAATAAAATGTAACATATTCTATTGTATAGGTAAGCCATGCCCAGAGTTAGTAATTCAGCTGCAAGAGTTTGACTTAAAATAACCTTTATAAAAAAAAAAAAAAAAAGAAAATGTGTTGTTGCTGGAAAAAGACACATCAGATTTAGGATAGACAGCATTAGTGCAATAAATCAATAACAAATACAAGACATATTTGCCTTACAGCACCTAAACTGTCTTTAAAATCTGCTGGTTTTCACCATTCAAAAGAAGTATGTTCACAAAATGACCTACTTTTAATCTAAGTCTGCCAGAGACGTGGGTCATTTCAGGCTTAGCTTAATTCATTTTATTCTACAAACACAACATTGCTATTTTCTAAATTAGGAGAAGTTTTATTGTTTGTTGTTTTTTTTTATTCAAAGGTTTGCATGTATTCCCTCAGTAGTTTTTTTTTGTTGTTGTCGTTACTATGTGACTTTGGCTAAACATTTTACTTCTCTAACAAAAATTTGCTGAAACTCCTTATTCCAGACAGACCTGGTTAACCAGTGCGATGTATCCTCAAGCTTTATGTTCTTATCTCTCAGCATGCTCATTATGTTTTTGAACACAATGTTCTGTCTCCATACCGTAATTTCCTCTTTTTCATAAAGTAAACAAGTCCCTCCTACATAAAACAGCACAGCAATTTACCACTCCCCTTCACATTTGCAAGAAAGTTGTTTTTAAACTTACAGACTTATTCTTTATTTTACTCTATTTGAAAGAATCTTTAGTATAGCCTAGGATGAACATTTCCATTTTTTCTTACCTCATATAATTATAGTTTCAGTTCCACTGTGGTAAAAAGCTTAAGTCAGCATCTTTTTACCTTACAATGACCTTTTAAAGGATATCCATAGGTGTGCCTTCAATAATTAGAAAATCCTAACTGGTTTTAACCAAACTAAATATAAAGTGTAATTTTATTTCAAATATTAAAGAACCCTATTTGTCACTTTATTCAGATTATTTTCATATATGGTTTAAACTATAGCTTAACATTTCTTTTCCAAGACTGGATATTAAATAAACCCAATTATCAAGTATTTTCTAAATTTTGTACAAACCTTCTAACAGCCTCAGACCGTACCTCAACTGTCTTTGGTTTAAATCAGTAATGCATTATGAAATACTGAAGTGAAGTAGGCTATAGTGTATTTTACTCTGACAAAGAAAAGCATTGCCTCATAATGAAGAAATATTTTCATTAATGCATTTTTTTTCACTCATATTCTTTGCTTTTTTATCTTCAGGCATCAAGAAGTACCCAGGACACAGGAGAGTCTCACATCTAATATACCAGAAGCAGAATGTGCCTATTAAAGCTTTATGGCCTATCTTTACACCTTACATGCTTCGTTTTTATGCCAATACTTAAAAAAAAGATTTTTTGATAAAATGTGTAATTTATTTTGAATATATATATATATATATATATAGTTTTTTTTTATCAGCGTTACTAATAATGTAGGCTGATTCATTCAGGTACGTCAAGGGAGATAAAAAAAACAAATGTTTTCTTTTTTCAAAGCTTTGAGTTTCAGAAATATTGATCAAACCTTAAACACAGGAGCAGTGAATAGAATAGAATAGAATAGAATAGAATAGAATAGAATAGAATAGAATAGAATAGAATAGAATAGAA